CACAAACCGTGCCCTCAATTTTATTTTACGCCCAAAAACTGTCGAAATCGGACTATAACTTTTCATGGAGCCAGACACCAAATATGTGGACCCTAGTCATATGTCTGATTTTTTACTGAATATATCGGTCAATCTGTGAATTCTAGTATTCGTAGTTGGGAAGAATATTTTTATCATGACAGCATGCCCTTGTGCCGAAAATGGGTAAAATCGGATCATTTCTTGCCTTAACCCCCATATAAATACAATAATGTAAATATTTTCGAGCTCCCGGTTGACTTTATACCGCATCTGTCGGTCAATATGTAAAAATATTAAAGAAATTCAAAAAGAATTTCTTTCTAATAACAGGGTATTCACTTACATAAAATGGATGAAATCTGTAAAACTTCCCCTAATCCCCATATACCTAATACATATATACTGATTTTCCAACATCCGCTTGACTTTATACCTTATATATTGGTCAATCTGTGAGGGTTCTTAATGAAATTTAGAGATTCTCTGTTTTTGGCAATTAATGTCGTAATAACAAAACTAGATACAATGGGGTCAAACTGTACCCACTATATACCTTTTATAAGAAAATTTATAAGAATTTTATTCTCATTGTAATAATTGAATGAATAATAATTAAAATCAGAGTGATATCGGTCAATCACTATCAGTTTTAGATTAAATATTTCGTAATAAAAACTGGATGTATGTAGGACTGAAGAGACTACGTGACCTTCAGTATAAGCAAATATATTACAAAAACGAAAAAAAACGTTAACTTCGGTTACACCGAATCTATCATACCCTTCACAAATACAAAATATTTCTTACAAGAATATGATTTTGATCGGTCAGTTTGTAGTCCAGCTATACAAGTATGCTATAGTGATCCGATCTGCACTAGTTTGTACATATACAGACGGACATAGCTAAATCGACCCAGTTCCTTGCTGTTCAGTTATATATATTTTTTATAGGGTCTCCGACGTTTCCTTCTAGGTGTTACAAACTTAGTGGCAAACTTAATATACGCTGTTCAAGGTATAATGAGAGCAAGCCTATGACAATTTCACTTCAAGTAGGAGTATCTTGTTTCCATCTGTAACCGAAAGTCAATCTTCGTTACTCGTTTAATCTTTCGATTCTTTAAAAAAAAAAATTTCGAAAAAATTTTCATATTTTGTTGTTTCCATCCAAAGGGATTTCGATGATATTGATGAATTCTTGGCATTACTGTGCCACCACACTACGTGTGTTACTACTCATCCCATGATTCAGCGCTGCTCGGATAATGAAGCGAGGACACAGTGAACACCGAGCAGCAGCCGCCAAGGCAATAACGATTCACTTACTCAGCCCCCTCCGCTGTCGATGTTTGAGTCATATCTGCTGCAATCGAAATTTTTTGGCAACTAACCAGCAAAATAAGGGAGGGGGGCAAGCGAGGCGGGAGGTCGCGGACCCGGCGAAGAAGTAACCAGCAGCCGAGGCAGCAGTAACGGATTATGTGATTATTAGCCGTCGTATTTCTAATTACTCCAAACGATTCGTACTGAGTTGCTGAGACGAAAGCAACCACACCAACAACAATTACCGAGCAGGTGTATTAATGTATGCGCGTGTAAAATTTGTGTAAGTGTGTGTGTGTGAAGACACTTCGATTGGCTATTGTATTTTGCATAAAATCCAATTATGTAACAATCAAAAGCCAACAGACCAAAAACAATTAAATTTGATTTGCCGTCCATCGTTCGGCGCCCACACGTGCTCAGGATGTCCGTCTCAAGGTGAATTTATAAACTTATTTTTCTTAACGACACGAATGAAAATATTTACATTCGCAACGAATTGCTATGAAACGACGAAATCCAATAACACACAAGTAATTGTCGTAGAAACATTCCGGAGCTCGTGAGGTGGCATTCGTACATATGTCCATACATCAAGTGTCGTATTTTTCGCAGTATTGAATACTCATACTAAGCTCCCAGGAACGTACACCCTAACACTCAATTCAGCCAAATTATTTGGTGTTTGGGTGTTTGGCTGCTTATATACAAAATCTCAAGCATTTAAGAGAAGTTGTCAGACGGAGTTCGAGACTTGGATGTAAGCTTTTTAAGGCGATAATACCGAAAATGCGAAATGTATCAGCAAGTTGACTCCAACTCGAACTTCTCTGTTGTTTTTTGTAAAATTAGAAATATCCCATGATAGAACGATCGTAAATAGGGAAAATTTTCAGCCTCCACCAGCTAGAAGACGGTTATGTATTTTGTTTTAATTCTGTTAAATTCTCTACTTATGGGTTTCATAAGGAGTATATATTTTTCTAAAAAATTTCTTTTCTGTAAGTATCTTACTTTATACCTGCTTTCTCGGTTTTATGAAAGAATAGCTCCATTTTATTTTCACGTAGCATCTGGCTATTTTTCTGGTGCTGACAACACTATAACATTTCTTCTCGTTATGCCGAAGGCTTGTGATAGAGTCTAGGAGCCGCAGTTTCGCACTCCGCCAAATCTAGAGCCCAGTTCTCTGTATGAAGCTGATGTTGTAGACTTTGAAAATTTTTTCAGTGATTCGAAGTTTTGTGGTGGTTTCTGTGCAATTGAGTGCGTAGAGCGAGCTACAGATTTACTCTTTGTATAATAATAACCCAGTTCTTTGTAACTCACGTAGTAAGTTCAAACCTGCTTGATTTGCAATATCATTTAGATTCAACTTGTGAAAGTGACAGAGAGAGAGTCTCCTTTTCGTCGCCTTGAGAAAATTTGGGAAATTCAACAATCTCGTGAGCAGCAAATTAAAGTTGGGAACTCTTTCAACCTTACGTTTTAAAAAAAAAAATGTATGTTAACGACTTTTTCGAAACATTTCGTCAGCTAAATTATCTCTGCACTATTTTTTTTTTAATTTACGCGAGGTTGATAGGCGAATCTAACGAGTAGACTTAAATCTTCCGACTTTAGTTGCTCGATTACTTTACAAGGTCTGAAAATATTTGATCTCGAATTCATATCTTGAAAATACTTCCACATAGCCAAGAAACTACGAACCGAAGTGGCTTGGTAAGGTGTGGTAATTTAACTTGCTGTAAACACCTCACAGCCTACTAGTTCTTATTAGAAACACGGAATTCCAACTGACTGACAAGCAAATGGTACGTAAAAACTCGAATTTCATGAGATCGATCATAACAGAGATCGCACTTGGATGGCTTAGAATGCCGGTCCGTTGTGGTACCTAGCACTCTTATATAATAGATCATAAGACTCTTACAAAACGACAAAGTGCTTTGAGCCTATTGTTGAGATGGCAAATGTCAAATTCGGCTAAGTATACTGATTCTCCAAGACTGCCGAGATGTTTCAACCTCAGTCTTAGAAAGACGAGACAATAGAGTAGAAAGTGTTGGGATGTTTCCACCTCACCCTTCTCGATACAACTTTGACACCCTGCGTCCGACAAGAATTTTAGCCCCACCGCATGAATGCCTATTGGACAACGTCTATCAAGAACTCCTATGATTGCAACAAGATGAACTTAAGGGCATGTAGTTCACATGATGATCTGTGCTCTACTCTAGGCCAAAAGGTTCTTACAGTCGCACGAAGCGGGCCGTCAACTAGCGCCAATGTAAATCCAACTCGATCCCATCATGAGATGCACTATTACTAAAACACGGAGCTTGAAACTCTAGTTACACGATTTTCGAAGAATGCTATTTATTAAGGAAAGGCATATATGTATGTATGTATATATAAATATGTATATGTTGCTTCTAATAACACACTTACATACATTTTAAGCATATACGTTCTGTTCACAGAGGCTTGATGACTGGTGAAATCCATAATTATTCTTTTAGATATTTTTAACAGTAATTCCAATTTATTATTCTTGCTTTTTAATTTTTGAAAAAATTTTCATAAAATATCGAAACCGATTGAGCGTACAAATAGCGCCATCTATATACACAATATGAGAACATATTTTCAAATCAACACAATTACAGCGCCATCTATTGCCAAGCAATTGCAGTTCCTTTAATCGCACTGATCGTGCCAATTGCGTTTTATAGAACAGCAGATGGCGCACGTGACGGCCAAATTTTAATTGTTTTTTTATTTGATGGGGAATTTGTGCTTATTTTGGGAAATTTTATTTTTGAATTTTCACTTAGCGAGCGTCATACGTCGCGCTCTCACGCTCACTCGTTTACTGCACTCGTCAACGCGCACTTAAATTTATTTTCCAATTTTGCTCGCACCCACACATTAACACTTTTTGACACTTTTCGCCGTGTCGGCACTACGTGATTTCGCACACTAATTTGATTATTTGTTGATGCGCTCAGCGAAGCCAAAAAAGAAGTATTTCGTTTGAAAAACGGCGTTAGTTGCTTGAAAACTTTCATTGATAAGAGACTTGCAACTTTCTTAGGTAAACCCGCCGTGTGATAACATGAAAATCAGTTGGCAATGCTCTCGCATCAGCATTTCGCGCACGAATACACAGAACCGGATGACGACGGAAACACATGTCCTTCGTTGGTATTTTTAAAATTTACATAAATAAACAAACAGATTTTTGAAATTTCTTTTTTCTTACCGCTCAGTGATGATCAACGTCGATCACACCCAAATTCAGAGATCAGAATATATAGTTATATATTTGTGAACTCAATAATATTTTTGCGATTATTTTATGCTTTCTACGATCTTGACACTCAAAACGCACTCACTACTCGCTCTTACACAAACGTGGAACGCTGCGCGGCAAACGGGACAACCATAATGGCGATGACGGTTCATCCCTCCATCGATCCATCCAACCATGCATGATATTCAGCGGTTATTTTTATGAAATCATGCAGTATTATTGAAAAGGCATTGTTTCGAAAACATTTCTCCACCGAACACTGAGCAGGGAAAATGGCACATCGTCGGAAATCAAGTGAAAAATTATAAATAAACCGTTTTTTCGAATAAGCTATTTTAAAAAAAGCCAACACACTCGCGCGCTCACGATCTGCGCCAACACACCGCGTACCGCCAGTCGATTGAACGCGTCGTGCCGCTGTCTTTCAATGCTACGACTGTTGCCACAGAGTGTTGCCTGACGCCTGTGTTCACTATTGGTGCTTGTGGTGTTGTGACCGATCCTCATCTGGCTGATCCTCCTACAGCTGCGGGAGCTGTTGCTGCTATTGCTACAAAGTCCGTTTCTGCATTTATTGCTACTGCTGCTTCTTCTTCGGCATCTTTTAATTCTTCCTCTTCGTCTTCTATTTATTGCCGTGCTATACTCGTATTTATTGTTGCCAGCAAGCAGCTAACAACAACAATAAAGCGGTGTCCGTTTATTGTGATCGCTTAGCAGCCATTTCGTTTTTAATTTTAGAGGTAACCCCAAAATAAATACCAACCAGATCATGTCTAAGATCACCTTTATATAGACACTTGTACTAACTAGCCAATATCTTTGAATACGAAATAACAGCATGTCTATTTTCTTCTAATTATATCGCTGGCGGTGAGGAGAAACGGCCAATGTATACAAAATTATGAACCACAAAGTTGTTGTAAAAATACGCTCTTCGCCTGCAGTATAAAATAAGACATATAGTTGAAAGGAAACGAAAGCGCGTATAATGAAGGCTTTATTGAAGATGTAAAGTTCCAAACCTCGATTCTTAGATAGACACAAGCTGGAGAGAGAAATTCTTACAAGTAAGTATGAAACTCTCACGTCCATTAGTACTAAACTCTAAACTTCCTTTACAGACAAATCCGCGGTGATCAAAATTTCGAATATTCTGCTCAAGTGATCGATGGTCACACGATTACTTCTGATCCTTACCGACCTATAGCACTATTTAAATAATTGCGCATTTCAGATCAAAGATTCAGCGGCTTTTTCCTGGAAGCTTAATATTCATTATTGGACGCTGTCTAAATAACAAAATGACATTACAAAAATCGAACGGTAATACTTCTCCTAGAAACAACGCACCCAAGTTAAGTGTCAAGGTGATTTGCTTAATATAAGGCCTTCATATTACCTCCATTACTATCTCTCTATCTACACAGAACAGAAGATGTCAGATGCTCGGAGTCACTAAATGGGTAAAGGACACTCTGTGCCAAAACATTCCTTTGCTATTTATTACATTATACTTTATATTCTTATCCTTTCCTAGAGGTTGTGGACTCCGGCCATCACCAACACTCATTTTGAATCTTTAGTATTTCTCTGAATAGTCGAAAAATTTTTCATAAGCAGATCTTTAAAGTTCAGATTCGGAGAACTCAATATTGATATCCGACATCTGTTGATAACTTCAGATTTTGTCGCTTTCCTCCTGAGACCAAAACCCAAGAAAGAATCAATGCAGAGGTCTTCTTCGGGTATACTACGATAGTTTTATAAGAAATTAAATTTATTTTGAGTTATCGTAAGGCGAAATATACTTCACAAGTAAGTCAAGGCAAAGGAGATGTCGTATATTGTATGACACTTCAGTTTTAAATACCTAATAATTTTTCTTCTTAGAACCCAAAGAAGTGGTTCGATATAATAATCATTTGAATCTTTATTTAAATAAATCCATGCTTAGAGGGAAGCTGCTCTGGGAAGCTTTAACATATAGAAGAGATGAAAAACATTCCAACTGCAAAAAATAATATCAAGCGCTTAGCTGAGATCAAGTATTTTATACCAGAAAAAAATTTAAAAGTCACCTATCACTTTTCTTACTACTACTACTACTATTACTTAATTTTTTTTTTTTTACTTTGAAGAAGAATTCTTAGCTTTGATTTTCACAGCTGATATCATGCCAACGGTCATTTTATATCGAGTTGTAAGAATTTAGCTCAACACAAGTTTAGACTTCCATATATTCCTCCACAATTTATAATTTTAGCAGATTTAGACTGAATTTTTTTCTCCGACATTCCCGTTATAATAACAGCAATAATTACAGAAATAGCATACACATCCCCCAACAACATATGGCCGACTGTTGTATGATATTGTATTGTAAATATGTGTTGTATTTATATTGGAACAGCGCTGAGTTATATTTAGGACGCGTATTGAAAACACAATGGCAGAAACTGCTCGTAGCACTGAATTAATTTTACGAAAAAATAATAAATTGCGACGACACAATAAAATCGATCACTTTTGCGATTATTATTACTTATTATTATATTTATTATGTAATATAATGTAAAATGCCAATATTTTTAAAATATTGCCAATTAATATTACACAAAAACTCAAAATCGCGATCCACCGATCGCCACCCACCCACCACAAAAGCGCACTTCTGTTCTGCACGATCGCGCTAAACTCTACGCTTCGTTGATTTCGAATCTAACCGACCGAAAGCCGACAGGCATCATACACACACGAATATGATTTATGCGCTTCCTGCGATTCCGCTGGCTGATCGTGTCGGACGCACGGTCGCACGGCCACTCTGGCACTCAGTGCAGGCAACAAAAATTGCCGATGCCGTTTTCGCCGGCAGCACTTGTATACGCAATGCCGTTATACGAGTATGCTCAAAATAAATTGGTAAATATAGTACAATATTTATAAATTGAGAAAGCAATGAAGTCTGGCATTGCATGTTTGGGGTGGCGATAGCAAAGGAACAATGAAAAGAAATTTTATGCCAAAGTTTGTTTGTGTGTAGCGTCGAAAGACTCGTAGAAGACACTAGCTGAAGGTAGCTCAGGGATCGTATTGGGAAGGGTAAGAAAGGAGCAAAAATGACGAAATGTTTATAAATATGTTGCGTATTTCAAAATTTGCATACTTTTTCATTATCCACACTTTTTAGATCCCCGAAATATCAGCTCTAGATCGGTTAAAATCAGAGTCAATTCCGGTTATCGAGGGAATTGCAATAAAAATAGTTCGTGAGGGCGGTTAAATAACCATTGATTAGAAGTACTGCTCGGCTTCCTTGGTTCTATTGCAAAATTAATGATATTACTTAATTTTGTAAATGACCTTCAAAGTCATTTCTGACGACGCTCTGAAGGTGTGAGTCGAAGATGATCAGAGTCGAATAGAGGCCTAAAGGCTTATCAAAACTGAATCTGCAAACAACAGTGCGAGAATATTGTATATCAACTTGGTCTCTCCGCACAAGTTGTCCAGAAAAATAAAGGATGGGCTTGGTTAAAGACTTTCTATTACTTTGGATATAGTGAAGCTAGTTAAATTTTGGCGGCCATGCGTAACTTTTAAACGTCTCAAGCCGTATTTTTAATGACACCAGCGACATCATGCTACTGCAAAGCTATCTGACCCTGCTATAGTTCCCATGAAATCAATATTTTCGTATATGCTTCGGTATTCAAGATAATGAAAAAACCTAAAAAGAGCAGACTATCGACATATATATCTAGAATAGCAGCCCCAAAAGTTCCTTAGCCCGAAAGTCTAAACACGCGATAGGACAGACTTAACAGATGATAGTCTCAACAACTGCCGACCTGAAATCTGCCTTCAACTCGAGTAAAAGTTTTAAAAGTGCAGTCACAAGTTCAATGGATATTTCAAAGAGACTGTGCTGGTTTCTGCGCGGGAAACTAATGCATTTCTCTGCTATTCGACATTTCAAATGGTTTAAAATAGGCAGAAAAACCAGGCATCAGAATACTAAGTTTAACAATCCAAAAATTCCTTTCCCAAGTGTATAAGCCCTGCAAAACTTAGAGAAACTTGGGCTCGGCTTACTGTGGCTAACAATTTAATATAACACTCTCCTTGTGGTTCATCGAAATCAATCTTAGTATCAGAAAATTCAAATGGTATTGATTGACTCTAGTTGGGAGGATCTCAGAGTATCCCAAAACGTTCAAATCGTTAAAGATTGACATTTTATTTGCGGAAAATCGCACACCTTAGACCAAAAAGAGCAAGACAAGTTAAAACAATTTGTGTTCAGCTCTTACAACATCAAATAAATAAATATAATATTTTTGTTTTATTATTCGCACTTTCTCCATTTTGATATTAATAGAGATCCACGGCATTCGTTACCTCAGTGTACACCCGCACATGCAGGATTTTGATAATAAACAGATTTCTTTTTGGCTAGCTGATGCTTTGCTCAGCAAAATTATAAATAACTCCTAAGTGAATTCCGCATGAACCGCAAGAACAAGAAGAACACCACAATAATCGGAAGAAGAAGAAGCATCCGCAGCAGTAGTCGAAGAATTTAAAAAGTAAAGTGAAATAAAGCGACTCATATTGATGTTTCCAATGTGCTAAAATTAAATTGTTCGAATAAATAAAAACGCACACGCGGTGGGAAGATGCTGGTAATAATGGCGACGATCGGCGGAGGTTTGAGGTGTAATGGTAATTTCGTGCGATTCTATAGCAACGCATATTAATAAATATACTATATATGTGTTTGAATCGAAGATACCCTGTAGGAAATGATTCCATGAAAAATTTATTTATAAATGTAACGATAAATGAGTAGTGCTAGAGGTAAAAGCCGATTAAAATTCACACCAAGGCATTATTTAAATCAACAGAAATGGAAGTGATTGATTTAACCTTAGCAAAAAGGGAGTTTGAATATATGTATATTTCTGATAAGCAATATTTTAAGTTTCTGCAGGGGAACTTTGAAACTTTCCAAACCGTTCAAATGTCATATTTTTGAAATAATGCCGATCTTTGCTAAGACCAGGAAGAATTCGAATAAGGACACTAAAACTCTAAGGGAAAGCTAAGGTATATAATACGAATGGAGCTGAAAGTAAATCAAATATTTACAATCTTTCGAATATTTTTTTTACAAAATTCCAGATCTGAACTCTGTTAGACAGACCTAGTCTTCATTTATAAAGCACAATCAAATATAAGATTTATTTTTTTAATCTAAATGTGCTGTTGAACTTGCTACGCTAGATTCAAAAGCTCAAGCGAACGGAAGGCAATATGCGATTAGATGTCCATAAACTATGGGACGCAGATAGTCAACCATGCGCCATCGGAACACACTCGAAATAACTTTTAAAACTTTAAAAGTCTTGATAAAAATATAGACCGTATCAAACCATTACAAAGAACAACATATCTAAGTTCCTTTCCTCTCGTAGTGCCAACTATTCTGAGATGGTCTAGTAAACAAGTATTTCTATATTGGAGTAGAAAGTGTATTAGGTACCTTGTTTACCGAAAAGTATTAATTTTTTAGGTCAGGATTTGATTTCAGTAAGAAATAATTTACTATATGGATTATTGTAAAGGAATGTTAGATTGACGAAATCAAGATGTCTTAGATGATTAAGAAGTATTGCTGTTAGGGGGGAAATTTTAATTGAAATTTCAATTATTTTCGGAGTTACAGCTCATTTTATGAAACGGTTATTATATCTCAAGTTCTACTCAATCGATTTACTTGCAATTTTATACAGAGCTTCTTTATATTGTATATTATACTAACGGATTTTTGAAAAAAAAAAACATTTTATATATTTAAAAAATTCCGAAGAGCAAAAAATGCAGGCATTGGCTTACAATTTATATAAAATGTTGCATATATTTAGGATTTAGGTAAATATAAATAACAAATTCGATATAAAATGCATTTATTTATTGCATTTGACATCTTACAACTTACTGTCTGCAGGCAAAATTCTCTTCATAACACTAAACCCTTCAGTATTTACTTAATTTTTTCAGTCGATTTTATCACTTGAGCAGCGAAGCCTTCGTAATCACTCATTCGTGTAAATTGATAAGAGTTCATCATGTGTCGTTCTCTAACGGTACGAAGTACCCGATTTGAGTCATAAATTCGAATAAATACAATAAAAAATCCAGATGCGTCTGGAAGAAGAAAAGCGAGTAATTCATTGAAGAAATCGACAGAAAGCTTCGTTTCTTAAGATAACGGATAGAAAGTAAAGAATCAACAGGATGATGAACTGCAAGTGACTCCACAGACACACGCAAACAATTTGGCGAAGCTGTCCAATGATTTGGGGTAAGAGACGTGCAGACACAGCATGTGAACGAGTGACCTGCGGATGAAGTGCTCTGAAGGAAGGGGACGACGAAGACTTCGGTGAAATTGGCAGGCATATTGAATTACC